CTCGTCACAGAGGTCGTTAGAGAGGGACAGACTCCGAAGAAAGGCAGCTTGTTACCATATGTGATAAAAATTTTGAAGGTGTGATTCACTCATTTAGTCACACATTTGGAGTGGTCTCTATTAGGACTGAATGTCTTGTTAGTCTTACTGTGGGGAACAAAAGCTCTGGTGCACCTGTTTCAGGAACTAGAAGTGAGCCACATTACAGCTGAGCTTTAGACGGAAGGATTTGGAGTCTTACACCCAGAACAGCCCAGTTGCGAAGCGCCACGAAGTGGATCACTCACAAAATCCGTGTGTGTGTGTGTAACCAGTTTGCCCCGTTTGTGATATCGGAAACTGCGCTGATCCTGCTGCTGTGTATTTGTTTGTATTCACATTTATTAAGTCCAACTTTTGCATTTAACGACATTTAAAATTATGGAAATGTCGTGTTTATCTGCAGGAGTGTGTGTGTGTGTGCGTGTGTGTGTGTGTGTGTGTGTGTGTGTGTGTGTGTGTGTGTTCATTTTCATCTATCTAGTCTGTTTAGATACACGAAAAAGATCACATTTATTAATCTCTGTCTTTTATTTTGAAAAATTTTTTTTATTTTGTTAAATTTACCGGGTTGCCTCTTCTGCTTTGGTTTGATTTCCTGCCAGAATTGACACGGCTCACATAAACTAGAGCTCACGCCGAAATGCTCGCTGCACGGCGCGAGCCTTCGTGGCGCTTCGTGGCTGATGTGACCGAGAGCGTAGGTTAACAAAGGCGCCGATTAGTAGAGCTCGTCGCTCCACGGCGCTTTGTGGCGCATCGTCACGCTTCCAGGTCTGGTGTGTCCTGGGCGTTATTTTCTGACCTTTGGACATCTCTCTGACTGGCTAACAGCAACATGACTCTAATACTGACTCTGTTTGCTCTACAACGTTGATTTTGTAACGCCACAAATAACACAAGCCTGGAAGAGTTCTGCTGTGTAGTGGAGTTGCTAACGGTTAGCTTCTGCTAGCTGAGACGTTCTCTACTGTTTCCTGGACGCTAAACCAGCAACTTACTCCAAAATAGTATTAATATTTTTTTCTAAAAAATCTGAACAGCTCATCTGGCTCAGCAGCCATGTTATTTTCTCAAATTAATGTCATTCTAAATCAAATGTATTTTTTTATTCTCTCATGAGTTTAAGTTAGAAATGGATAACTTAACAGTTAAATTACTCCAAGGTAATAGTAGTAGGATTATAGTTACAGTACAGAACTGCGTCTGCAGCTTAAGCCAGATCAGAGCGAGAACAGGAGAACGGACCTGGAGCTCGTACGGCTCTGCCTTTCTCTTGATGGCAGACGAGCGATAGAGTCTGCTCTTTGCCTGATGCTGTCTCTGTTTTCCATTCAAAGAATAATTGATTTTCCATGAAAGCTGGGAAATGAGGAGGAAATGCTGGCCCAATCATGTCAGCTCTCTGTCATGTCTCCCATCTTCTTCCTCTCCACATCGTCTCAGTTACTTTTTCTCTAATCTTGCATTTTTCTGTTTGTTAGATTTTTCTCAGACTGTCTCAGTTTCCTTGAAGCGGATTTATTTATTTATTATTAGTTAAAACGTTTCAATCGGTGCAGTTGAATGCATTTCTACTGCGCCTAAAAAACTATTTTCTCAGACTTTCATCTCCTCTGCTGCACCATGTCACCATCAGTACAATAAAAACAATACATCACCTGAATCAAACTGTGTGTGAAAGGCAGCAGCGGGCTGATTTAGTGGTGGCTTTACTCTGTGTTGGAGCGTTTTATGACTGGGTTGAGGGTCATGGACACAGGCGTGCGTTTTTGACAAGCTTCACTGTGACTACTGGTATTTGTCGGCATTTTTCATGCCGTCCCACTTTAACTTGACCTCAGTGAATTGAAAAGCCACATGTTAGTGTCACTACTGACAAAGTGTGTTCAATAGGATGTTCCTCGTCAGCTGCTACAGGGGTTAGAGAACTCTTGTTTTTATTCTGGAGTGGGTTGGGGGCAATTCATAAATCCCAATAGTTCAAGCTTCTTTCAGTTTTAGCATCTGGAATCTTTGAATTGGTTGCAGTAGGTTTGGACTTCAAATGCTCTGATACAACGTTAAATTAGATGTTTTTAATGGAAATTTTCACACTTGATTATAACATCCCCTTAAGAATATTTAACATGTTTTGTCACTTCTTCTAAAAACACGACTTTTCAGTCTGATTGGTTCTGTTTCTGGTTTTGAGACCCATGTAGGGGTCTGATTTTCCACAGCCGGCACCAACAATTAATGACTTTCAATTCAATTCAAGTTTATTTATAAAGCGCCAAATCACGACAAGAGTCGTCTCAAGGCACTTCACATAATAAACATTCCAATTCAGGTCAGTTCATTAAGCCAATCAGAAATAATGCTTCCTATATAAGGAACCCAGCAGGTTGCATCAAGTCACTGACTAGTGTCAGTGACTATACAGCAATCCTCATACTAAGCAAGCATGCAGCGACAGTGGAGAGGAAAACTCCCTTTTAACAGGAAGAAACCTCCAGAGAATCCTGGCTCAGTATAAGCAGCCATCCTCCACGACTCACTGGGGATCGAGAAGACAGAGCACACACACACACACACACACACACACACACACACACACACACACACACACACACACACACACACACACACACACACACACACACACACACAAGACAAGTAATGTGTCTATAGTTCTATTGTGATGTGTTAGTAAATATTCTATTTGGTGAGAGATAAACTTTATTGTATTTATCCTAGTGGATCTATAATTAAATGATAAATGACCCGCACTTGTATAGCGCCTCTCAGAGTAAGGACTCCAAAGCGCTTTACACTACAGTGTATCATTCATCCATTCACACACACATTCACACACTGATGGGGATGAGCTACAATGTAGCCACAGCTGCCCTGGGGCGCACTGACAGAGGCGAGGCTGCCGAGCACAGAGGCCACCGGTCCCTCCGACTACCACCAGCAGGCAAGGTGGGTTAAGTGTCTTGCCCAAGGACACAACAGCAGAATTCTCTGTCCGGAGCCAGGATTGAACCGGCAACCTTCCGATTACTGGACAACCTGTTGAGCTACTGCTGCTAATTAAATGGATAAACTAGTAGTAGCACATCCAACGTCAAGGAAAGCAAAAAGTTATTATCAGGAGAGGGAGAATGTTTTAGTGGTTAGCAGCAGTGTGCTAGACGATGGCCCCCTCCATGAGGCCACCACAGCTCAGCAGAACGTCATTGTAGCTTCTTCTGGGGAGAAAAACAGAGAGAAAATAAAGTTAATAGCTGAAATTGCAGGAAATAATACAGTTAAAGAGCAGATAGTAGAAGAAAGCAGTAGAGTGTGAAAAGTGATCAGTGTATCCTCCAGCAGTCTAAGCCTATAGCAGCATAACTACAGAGATAACTCTGGATAATCTATCCTATTTAGATGGAGGCATGTTGGAGAATGACCTTTGAGATTTGCATAAGTAAGTAAGTAAATAAGTAAATTTTATTTATAAAACACTTATCACAGACATAGAATCACAAAGTGCTTCACATAGATCAAAATAAAACAAAGTCATTAAATCATAAATAGATTAACATCCGAAAAAATGAAGTCATAACATTATAATTTTTCATAAACAGATGAAAGATTAAAAATTTGAGTTAAGAATAAGAAAAAAAAAAAGGTTTAGTTAAAAGCTGCTTTAAATAAAAAGGTCTTTAGCTGTTTTTTAAAAGTGTCCTGACTGTCAATGCTACGTAAGGATAAAGGCAGATTATTCCAGAGTCGGGGTGCAACAGTCTGGAAGGAGCGATCTCCTCGACTTTTGTATCTGGTCTTTGGAACTTCTAGAAGGTTCTGGTGGGTGGACCTGAGGGCTCGGGTTGGAGCATAAGGCTTTAACAGTTCAGTAATATAGGGAGGAGCTTGACCATGTAGAACATTGAAAGTTATAATCAGGATTCTAAAATGAACTCTAAAGTTAACGGGTAACCAGTGCAGAGGCTCCAGAATAGGAGGGATGTGTGCTCTTCTGTTTCTTAAGTTTGTCTTGACAGCAGAGGATAAATGACCAAGTTTTAGACTAATCAGGGGAACCATGCTCTCAGGAGAAATGATCAGACATTCAGTCTTTTCAGAGTTTAACGGAAGGAAACTATCTTCTAGCCAGCTGGTGATCGCTGATAGACACTCTAGGAATTCAGACAGTTTATTGAACTCAGAATCCTTAAAGGAGCAGTACAGCTGAATATCATCTGCATATATCATCTGCACATTATGAAAAGAATCAAGTACCTGTCCAAGAGGGTGTATGTACAGCAGAAACAACAGTGGACCCAAAACAGGGCCTTGGGGTACCCCACAGAACAGATCAGTAGAATCTGATGTGATTTGGTTTATACAGACACTGTAACTTCTGTTAGAAAGGTACGATCTAAACCAGTCTAGAACAGTTCCAGAGATCCCCACCGAGTCAGCAAGTCTGTTAATTAAGGTGCTGTGTTCAATCATAAATGATTGTTAAGTTAAGCTTGGATGTAGGAACCTTCATGGAGGAACCATTATGCAACCATGTGGTCCTGGAACTATAAATGTGAAGGACAGCACTGTATTGGTGTGCCGAACGAGAGGGAGCTTAAGTCTTTTCCCTTTCCGGTACGCTCATGGGTCCCCAAAAAAAACAAAAAATTAATGCAAGTCTACAAGACTAAACAAGCTATTTTCAAACTGGCTTTGCACAAAACCACAAAAAACCTGAAATAATGTTTCACCCCGTTTGAAAATAAGCGCGTTCTTGGCATTAAAATGCACCTTTAAAATGCATAGGCATCATATGTGAAATCCATGGCAAATAACAAGCGGAATTAGAAAATAGCATTTTTAGCCCTGTTGACTTGCATTCATTGTTTTGTTCTTCCGGGGACCCATGGTCCACAAGTAGATGGGCGTGACTTAAGTTCCCTATTGGGAGCCTAATGGGCCATTCCCATCTGTACCGGGTCGGCCCGGGCCGGGTAGCGTAGGTTGTTTACATATCTGGGTGGCCTGGTATTGTTCCGGGCCAACCAAGGCTCATTCTCAGCCCTCATCTCGAGGGGGTCTGCTTCAGGCCGACCAGGGCCAACACACCCACTGCTGACAGCTGTTGCATCTTCAAAAAATAAAATAACTGAGCCTTACTCCGGAGTGTCGTTGAAACTTGTTTACTGAACCGTCTATTCAGAACATGTACAGAACATCAGCATCCATTTGTTACTTACTACTGCTGGACACACACTTCTTCTACTGTTCTTACAACATTATGTAACACAGAGCCTCTACTGCCTCTCCTGGCCTCACCATTGTAACAACACCTCTTCTATTTCTTGGAGATGAATAACGGGAACCTGATATGTAGGCATCTGTGAATAAGAACTATTATGCGTACTCAGATATTTATATGAACAACTAATTCCTCACGATACCACATCTCCTCCCCCTTTAAGTCCAACTCCACCGTGATCTACAAAATAATGATTTATCTAAAGAATGCTTAACAAACAAGCAACACGTAATCATGGTAACCATCCAACCTAACATATATTCACTTATATCAGAACACTGTGTTGCTCTATTCCTGGAAGATCTCACACTATCCAACAAAGTCCTTTAAAGTCTCTGGTGGACGTCTCTCTCGCTGAGAACGTCGCAACACGGGTGACACGGAGGAGTCTCCAGGAGCCGGAGTCTCCGGAGCATCAGGCAACTCCGATGCCGTAGGTTGTGGCGGTGTCCCGGCTGGCCAAAAGCACTCAGGCACTGCTTCTTGGTCCTGCAATGGCTCCACCTCCCTGTCCACTGTACTGGGCACAGTGTCACTGTACTGGGCCACTCTTGCTCTCACCTGATCCACGTGCCGCTTCATAGTTTGACCTGATCCAATGGTAACAATGTAAGACACTGGACCCGATGCTCTCACAATGACTGCAGGAATCCACTTCGGGCCATAGGAGTAGTTTCTGATGAAGACCTGGTCTCCTGGTGTGAAACTCCTCAATCTTTTCTTGGTGTCATGATTTTCTTTCTGTTTCAATTGTTTGTGCTGCACTTTATTTTTTACATCAGGCATGAGCAGGTCCAAAACTGATCTGAGTCTCCGTGACATCATCAACTCTGCTGGTGATAAACCAGTAGTGGCGTGCGGCGTGATGCGATAACTGAACAGAAATCGAGACAGTCTGGTTTGCAAGGTATCACCTTTGACTTTCTTCATCCCCTCCTTAAAGGTCTGTACTGCCCTCTCAGCCAGCCCATTTGAAGAGGGGTGGAAAGGAGCAGATCTCACATGGTCAATTCCATTCTGTTTCATGAATGACTCAAATTCAGCACTGGTGAAACATGTTCCGTTGTCTGAAACTAACATTTTAGGTAGCCCAAACACACTGAAACTCTGGCGCAGCTTCTCTACAGTCACCTGCGATGTCGAGGATTTCACAGGGTACACGTCCATCCACTTGGAATGAGCATCCACAATGATTAGAAACATCTCCCCGAGGAAAGGCCCTGCATAGTCCACATGGATTCTGGACCATGGGGACTCCGGCCACTCCCACGGGTGCAATGGTGCGGTCGGTGGTGACTTATGGTGTTTCTGACACTCTTCACATGCCTGCACTTCTCTTTCAATGCTCTCATCCATCCCTGGCCACCATACATAAGACCTAGCCAAGCCTTTCATCTTCGACATACCTGTATGAGTCTGGTGCAGGAGTTTCAATATTTTGTCTCTGCCTTTGGTGGGAATAATTACTCTGGCTCCCCAGAGCACGCAACCATCCCTCACACTCAGTTCCAGCTTCCTCTGTCGATACGGTTTTAAACCGGCATCGGTCTGAACTGGCCAACCCTTTAAGGTGTACTCGTGTACTTGCGACAACACTACATCCTTCGCTGTCCATCGTTTGATCTGTGCAGTGTCCACCAAAGTGTCATCCAGTACATCCATCATTAAAACCTGCTCAGCCATTTCTTGCTCAGATGTTGAGTCTGGTACCGGCAACCGGCTGAGCGCATCCGCGTTTTCATGGTGTTTACCTGGCTTGTACTTGATGTTGTACTCGTAAGCACTCAATGTCACGGCCCATCGTTGTACTCTTGGTGAGCCCATCTGAGGTATAGGCTTCTTTTCATTGAACAGTGAGATTAGAGGCTTATGATCTGTGTAAATCGTGAAAACTCGGCCATACAAATATTTGTGAAATTTCTTGATGCCAAATATCACCGCTAAGCCTTCTTTGTCCAGCTGAGAATACTTCCTTTCAGCAGGAGAGAGTGTGCGTGACATGAACCCCAAAGGTCTCTCACTTCCATCCTCCATCTTATGTGACAATACGGCACCTACGCCGTATGGGGATGCATCACAGGAGAGAACCAACTCCCGGTCAGCAGAATAATGAACTAACACCTCTGCTGAGTTCAACAGGTTCTTGGATTTCTGAAAGGCTTCATCTTGTCTCTTTTGCCATGTCCACCGTACCTCGTGTCTCAAAAGTTCATGTAAGGGTGCCAGTAGGGTTGCCAGGTTTGGAAGGAACTTGTTATAGTAATTTAGCAACCCTAAGTATGCTTTCAGTTCAGTGACATTTGTGGGGGTAGGTGCATCCCTGATGGCTTTAACTTTCTCTTCCACTGGGTGGAGCCCCTGAGCATCCACTATGTGCCCCAAGTACTCCACTTCCTCTTGCATGAAAACACACTTGCACCTCTTTAACCTCAACCCAGCCTCCTCCAACCGGGTCAACACCTCATCGAGATTTTTTAGATGGCTTTTCTCATCCACTCCAGTCACTAAGATGTCATCTAAATACACAGCTACCTGAGGTATCCCCTTCAAGAGACTTTCCATGGTCCTCTGGAATATTGCTGGAGCAGAGGCCACTCCAAAAGGCAATCTGTTATATGTGAACAGCCCCCTAGGTGTGTTTACTGTCACGTACTTTTTTGATTCGTCATCCAAGAGGATTTGCTGGTAAGCGTGGCTCATGTCTAATTTTGAGAACTGCTTACCCCCGGACAGTGTGGCAAACAAGTCCTCCATTCTGGGTAGGGGATACTGCTCCAGGGAAGCCACTGTATTTACAGTAAGCTTGTAATCTCCACACAGTCTTATTTTCCCCGTGGGCTTCAGAATTGGCACTACTGGTGCCGCCCATTCAGCATATTTAACTGGCGAGATGATGCCTTCTTTCAAAAGTCGATCTATTTCCTCGTTGACTTTTGCTCGCATAGCATAGGGAACAGAACGTGGACGGAAAAAACGTGGAGTGGCATCACCTTTCACATGAATCACAGCTTTCATGCCTTTCAGGGTGCCCAGCTCCTCTTTGAATACAGCCTCATGTTCATTTAACACCTGCTGAAGTGTTTTTTCCATTGTTTGGACTCTGTGCAGCTTTCTGTGGTTACGACTGTTTTTTACTTCATTCCAGTCCAATTTAATTTCCTCAAGCCAAGCGCGACCTAGCAAGTTGGGGCCGTCGCCTCCGACCACCACCAGAGGCAGATGTTTTTTCTGCTGCTTGTAATTTACACTGACTCGTGTTGCACCAATTACCTTAACAGGATCCCCTGTATAAGTTTCCAGCTTGATTTTGATGGGCTGCAGGCTAAGGGGCTTAGTGTTTTTTCCCGTTTCTCTGAATGTTGCTTCGTTCATGACGGTTAGGCAACACTCGGTGTCTATTTCAAAGTTCACCCTTTTTCCATCAATTTGCATATCTACAGTGTAGGGGTCTACTTTCCTCAAGTGTACCACACTGCCACGCCCTAACTTGTACACTTTTCTTTTGTGCTCTTGACTGCACTTAACACAGTTCATCGTGAACGACTCATCCTCAGAGCTGTCAGTTTGGCCGTTATCTTTTTCCTCGCCCACTTTGTGAGTACTGTAGTGTGAACTCTGCTTTCTGTCTTTCTTTACATATGTCGATGCATACTTTTTCTGGTTCAGTTTTGTCTTGCTTCTACAAGCTCTGGCTATGTGTCCCACTTTACCACAAGCATGGCATTTTTCTTGTTTGTACTTACAGTCTGCCGCTGTGTGCTTAGTTCCTGTGCAACGATAACACTCCTTGCGTTCTCCTGTAAAGGTACGACTCTCCTGTTGTACTTTGCTGAGGTTAAAACATTTTGCTGTCGCCCCTGAGGTTTGCAGATCCTGTGCATTTTTATTTGCAGTCTCCATGGCTACTGCAATTGACAGGGCCTTGTCAAATGTAAGATCTACTTCTGACAAGAGACGTCTCTGAATTCGGTCATCTTTAATTCCGCACTCTCAACATTGAGGAAGAAGAAATCGCATTAGGGAGGATGCTAAAGATTTTGTTTCTAATAGAATTAATTTTACTTATAAAAAATCCCATAAAGTCATTGCTGCTGAGGGCTAAGGGAATAGACGGCTCAGAGCTATTATTCTGTGTAAGTTTAGCAACTGTACTGAAAAGAAATTTAGGATTATTCTTATTCTCCTCAATTAATGCTGAAAAAGAAGCAGTTCTAGTTTGTCGAAGCTTATTTTTATAAAGCACAAGACTATTTTTCCAGGATAGGTATGCCTCTTCATGGTGCGTAGAGCGCCATGTTCTCTCCAATTTCCTAGAGTTTTGTTTTAAGGCTTGTAAATGAGAATTAAACCAGGGAGCCAACTTCCTGTCCCTAATTACCTTCTTTTTTAAAGGGGCAACATCATCTAATGCCACACGTGAAGAGGAATTAACATGATGAACTAAGGCATCAATTTGTGAGGGGCTAGAACTGAAAATATTGCCCTCTGCTACGTTCCTCTGAGATGCTGAGGACAGTAAAGATGGAACAGTTAATTTAAAAGATGCAACAGCGTTGTCAGATAGAGACCGACTATAGTGAAATTTACTTTCATGTCTCGAGAACTCAGTTATAAAAAATTCAAAGGTTATCAGAAAGTGGTCCGAGAGGACCGGATTATGTGGAAAGATTGTTATTTCCTCACACTCAATGCCATAAGTCAGCACAAGGTCCAATGTATGATGGCAGGAGTGGGTGGAGCTATGTATTCTTTGAGTAAAACCAATTGAGTCTAAGATATTACTAAAGGCTACATTGAGGCTATCATTTTCAATGTCCACATGAATATTAAAATCCCCCACTACAATGACCTTATCAGTATTTAGCACCAAATCAGATAAAAAATCAGAGATCTGATCCAAAAACTCTGAGTAAGGGCCTGGTGGATGATATAAAACTACAAACAAGAGTGGTTTTACAGTTTTGCAATCTGGATTAGGAAAACTAAGAATAAGATGTTCAAACGAACTGTAACTATTAATCTGTAAGGGACTGATTAATAAGTCCGAATGAAAAATGGTTGCTACTCCTCCTCCTCACCCTGTACTTTGAGCAATATGCTGATTTAAATAATTTGAAGGAGTCGACTCATTTAAGCTAACATAGTCCTCTTGCTGCAGCCAGGATTCTGTGAGAGAGAGCAAAGAGATCTGATTATCACAAATCAACTCATTAACTAACAAAGTCTTAGAAAAAATGGATCTAATGTTCAACAACCCACATTTAATTTTTCTAGTTTTCTGCTCAGTTGAATTTGTTCTAATATTTATGAGATTTCCATGATTTGCTTTATTAAGCCTGATATTTAATCTGTGTGATTTTGGCCGTGGGCAGGACACTGTCTCTATGGGGTAGTGGGTGGGTAACAGTACAGAAGCTGCAGAGGGGTGGGTTAAACTACGACTCTGCTTCCTGGTCTGGACCCTGGGTTGTCATGGAGGACTAATAAAACTGGCCATGTTCCTAGAAAGAAGAGCTGCACCATCCAAAGAGGGATGGATGCCGTCTCTCCGCATCAGACCAGGTTTTCCCCAAAAAGTTTTCCAATTATCAATGTAGCCCACGTTGTTTTCAGGACACCACCTAGACAGCCAGTGGTTGAAGGACAGCATGCAGCTAAACATGTCGTCACTGGTCCGATCAGGCAGGGGGCCAGAGAAAATTACGGAGTCCGACATTGTTTTGGAAAACTTACACACCAAAGCAACATTAATTTTAGTGACCTCCGATTGGCGTAACCGGGTGTCGTTACCGCCAGCGTGAATAACAATCTTACTGTATTTACGCTTATCCTTAGCCAGCAGTTTCAGATAAGATTTAATGTCGCCCGCTCTGGCCCCAGGTAAACATTTAACTATGGTTGCTGGAGCCTCTAATGCCACGTTTCTGACTATGGAGCTGCCAATGATAGAGTTGGCTTGTCAGTGGGTGTGTCACTGAGCGGGGAAAATCTATTAGAAACGTGGACCGGTTGGTGGGGGCCCACGGGCTGGGTTCTTTTCTTCCTGCGTACCGTCATTCAGCCGGCCTGAGGTCCCGGCTGCTCGGGTTCTGCTGGAGGACAGCTACGGGGTGGTTCTGAGCTAGTTAGCCCCGCGCTAGCTAAGTAGCTACAGCTGTTTACGGGTTTTTCAACAGCGCAGAGCCGGGACTCCAATTCCGACACCCTCGCCTCCAAAGCTACAAAAATGCTACATTTATTACACGTACCATTATCACTAAAGGAGGCAGAGGAGTAACTAAACATCTGACACAGAGAGCAAGAGATAGGAGATGGAGAAGCAGAGACATAAGTAGCCATAGCCGTGCTGAGGCTAAGCTAACTGGACGAGCAAACTGTTCAATACCAAATAAACTGTGTGCGAACTCAAATGGTTCCCTAAAAGCTAGGTGGAGCAACAGAAAATGTGTGTTTTAGCGTGCTTTTGTGCTACAATAACTCAGAGATATCCTAGTACAGAGAAATTAAATCAGCTTTAGCGAGCCCCAAACACCAAACAGCGACACGTAGTGCAACACTGAAAACAGGAAACAGGAAACGCCTTACCGACAACAGCGCATGAGCATCATGTTGTCTGTTGCTGCAGGCCAGCAGTATGGTAGAAAGTCTGTGCTCTAAAGTTTGGGTCTACTTCACTAAATGCGACGGGTGACTGGGTAATGACGGCAACATTGACAACGTTCTAAATGAGTTTTCATCATCTTAGTTTGCTCTAGCGGGTAATTAAACAATTTAAGATAACATTAGCTTGATACTTTAGCTTCAGTTGTGATCAGCTAATGGTGCGTTCGCTCATGGTGCTGGGTTTTAGTTTGAGTACTGTTGCTAGGTATCAAAGTTTGTTTCATCTTCATTTTTAGTTTATAATACTTGTTCTCGTCATAGTCATTCCAAAAGGCATAGAAGAGGAATAGGAGTCTATGGAGCCGGGTTTTAATTTTTGTATCATTTAGTTGTAGCTCGTAGTGGTTAAAAGTTCTCATATTGAAGAATTTTGTCCAACACTGCAATGAGGAAATACAGTTTGTATGTTAATTATCATGATATATTTATTAAATATTATTATATGTAATGAGAAAAAATGTTTAGATAAAAAAAGATTTTATTCATTATTAAACACTCAAAAGTATTGAAAATTGGTACAGTTAAGTATCGGTATCGATTCCTAGGTACAGGGAATTGGTTCAAATGTGAAAGATCCCATCCCTAGGTATAGTATAAGTTAAACATAAATAAAATATGTTCAGAGCTTTATTTTAAACCTTTTACACACAAACGCAGCCACACACATTTTAACGGTACACGTTGGTAGATCATTGAGCTGAGGTGCAGCTCTTCTGACTTATAAGTCTGCATTTCCAAAGTCAAAGCTGGTCTAACTCAGCTGTTTCTACACACATTCCACACAAAAGCCTTCACCCTACTCATTTCTCTCCTCTTCATCCTACCATTCCCCCTCTGTCTTTCCACGGCCACAGAGCTGCATTGAGTCAGTCAATCTGTCGTCACGAAGATTGAAGAACCAACTTTCAAGGTAAGGTACTAAGAATTAAACTTAGAGTCATCTAAAAAACCTAACTCTGCTTCATTGTCCACCACAGGGCAGAATGAAAAGCAATTTGTCGTGGTTTTAGGGGGTTAGCCTAGAAAGAGGAAGCAGCTGCAGCAATGCCACTGCCAAAATTTCATTTCTATCTGCACACATTGACTGAAAGTCCAGCAATTACTGCGGGGCCCACCCTCAAAATGTGATTAGCATGGACCCAGATGATAATGGCTTTTACAGGCAATTACACCAAGGAGGGATCTTCTCGATGTGTGGGAGTAGTACTGCAGGAGAGTGAGACAGTTGCTTGGTAATGTCTGTTATTGCTGGCTGACCAACTGGAAATGTGTTTGTCATGAGATTTTATAGTAAGATGTCTTCATCAGCACAAATCAGGCACTGGAAACTAACTTAAGTAAAGGCCAACTTCACTAAGAAGCCTTATTTTTTGTGTGTGTTTTTCTTACATGACTCGCCACTCTGAGGTGGAAAAAGTAAATAGTCTTATACTCCTATTTCCTGCATTAGCCACCGATAGAAAATAGACGGGGAAGTGCTTGGGTTTGGAAAGTCTGACAGATCTACGCCACACTGGAAATTAGCATTCATGTGAGCAATCTTGACTCATGACGGGAAGGGCTGTTGTTGGTTCAGTATCCAGGAAACAGCAGAGAATGCCTAGCTAGTTGAAGCTAACCATTAGCATTAGCATCTCCGCCACACAGCAGAACTCGTCCAGACATGTTTCATTTGTGGAGATAAAACATCAACATTGCAGGGCAAACAGAGTCCTTGGTAGAGTCACAATGCTGTTAGCCAATCGGAGGAGAGATAACCACATGAGACCCAAATCCTGCAGTCTTCTGCTCACCACTCCTCTGGCTAACCTGTAGATCTTGAAACAGGATCGCCAGAGCTTTCCCCCCCACAGAGAATGCCTTCGTTTACACTAGAGACCACCGCAGATGTGTTGAAAAACATGAGTGAACTTCATCTTTAATGCTTTAGATTCTCGTTTAACTTTTAAATGGGGTAGCTGCACTTAAAACCATGCAAATTTACATTGGAGCTGAATTTTTGTAAAAAAGCCTTTTCAGTTTTTGTCTTCGTTTGAATTAAGCTGAAGTTTTGACGCCACTCACCGCGTTGTTCCACGGTGCTGTTCTTTTTATATCTGGACTTCGCTGCATTCTCTGGCAGCTCTGAGTGATTCTGAGTAAGAGCTCCGCAGCTCGTCTTGGTGTAAACAGATGGTCTGGGCTGTGATGACTGGTTTCTGATCTCAGCCAGATATGCATCCAGGCTGTCAGCTGAGATTTTCAAGCACCACAGATGTAAAATGAGTGAAATGCACTGAAATATGTGAAGTTCAAATACAAACCCAGGTCCAATTTCCTGGGACAGGTCATGTTTAGATTCTTTCCAGTTGTACTGTGAAGAGTGGCACGCTGACTTCATAAGGTGTCCATGTTCACCCCCCTCTGCCAGTAATCTGTGGACCAATGCAGAGCCTCCATGTTGATTATTTTACAAATATAATACACGTCCTGTTGGATTTTATCGATTAAAGCAGAGAATCGTGAATTAGCGGGA